ATTCTAAATGTTATTGTTTTACGAATGCGTAATAGATTACAATTAATATATTATGTATACGTCGATTAAATAATATTCAATACAATATTTAATAATTACTCAATGGTTATATAACTTGCACGATGTTGCTCCTTTTACACAGTATTATAAATTAATTGTTTTTATTAATATTATTATTGTAACAATTTATTAAAACTATTATAATTTATAACTAATAAGAATTGTGATAAATTAAATTATAAAGTAAGTTATTTTTATTGAGAGTCATTGTATTTTTTTTATGTTGGTTTACCATCTAAGTACCTACCTATTATAGTTTTTTTTTTTTAAATAGATATCGCTAACCGGGAACGTTAAGTTGTATCATGAATTACCTGAACTCCTGGTAATTCTAGAGCTGCAATTTATCCTACACCGATCCACCAACATGTGTAGGACACACGTATATAGAATATAGATACTATGGTTGCACAACGGCCTATATTGGATCATATCATCGAGCTGAGCAGAATGTTCTTATCAAATCTGACAAAAAGTTGCGTCCTTCTAGCGCCTTCTACAGCCACTATAGCACTACTAGCTTACCTAACCACTATGGAGCGCTAGTATGGAGCTACTTGATTTGTATGTATATAATATTTAACTTGATAAGAACATTTGGAGCACGGACTAAGATATACAGGACTGGACACGAGATGAATATTGTGGTTACGAAATGTTTTACAACAGGCGGAGTTCGGGGGGATATTTTCCTTTTAGCATTACTAGCGCCGTCTTAGTGGATACTTATGGAACTAGAAATTTCCCTCCAACCCCCCCACACCCTCCAACCTTGTCGTGTCCAGTCCTGTATATCTTAGTCCGTGATTTGGAGCCTTTATATTAATGTTCGTTATGCAACCATAGTATCCATATCCATGATAGGACGTTAGACGCAGGTGTATATATTATGTGAATAGCACTCAACAAGAGTAAACAGGTCCACCGAGTAAATCCTATGAGTGCTTGTGTGAGGGCGGTGTGTGTATGTCTGTGTAGACTACACTTATGACATAAAAGTAAATCAAACAATACATTTTAACTCAAGTGATAAATGTGATGAATAAATAATGTAATATTGATAAAATTATACAAATAAAATAATTTATATGGCCCAATAACTAAAAAACAGAGGCGTAATATTGTGGGAGGGCATTGGGTGTCTTGAAGGACACTAAACCTCCTGTAATTTATCCATGAAAAGTGTTTTTACGTGGTATAAACTTACGAAATTTAACGGATTTTTATCTAACATATTGAAGAAAATATATAATATATCGTTATCAATAAATAAAAACCATAAATAAGACACCAATGAAACTCTAGTCTATAATGTAGTATGAAAATTTGGTATAGCTACTGTAAATAATGCACAAATAAGAATATACGATTGTCCCTCGTGAAATCGTTCTTCTATATATTCTCATTATTAAGCAACAACCGCTGTTGGTACTAACATGGGACCACTTTTAAAATATTTTGAAGTTTGAATAAGTATTTAAATATATTATTTAAGATTAAACATTTAAATTTTTCTATAAATGTCATTAAATTTGCCTTTATAAATCCCTTAAATAGCAGTTGTGCGGCGTCCTATATCTAATGGGGTGGGTAGACTGTGTCAATGTGTCATGTGTGTGTGTGTGTGTGTGTGTGTGTGTGTGTGTTGGCTGATCGGTGGTGTTTTTAGGTAAACTATGCGTTATGTAGGCATATTTTATTTTGTGTATGTTTTTTAACTATAATAAAATGTATTATTTAATGATCTATTTGCATGGTATAATATGCCAAACACAACTGTACCTACACAACTATAGGTATCACAACTATATAGTACCTACCCACCTATATATTATTTTTTGAGGTAGGATCTAAAATATAAAATCATTGATTTGTAATAGAGGTTTTTTTTATATTTTCTAACTGTCACTCAAACTTGAATTAAAATTTAATAATATATTGGTTAAACTTAATTATTTATACTTAAAATTAACAAGATTCCAGGGTAGTAGAACTTTTAACCCTCTACGGTTGAGTGAAAAACTCCATGTAGATTATAAAGTACCTAATGATTTCGCCAATGATCACTATTATGTGTCTTTACGTGATAATATTATCGATATCTCAGGCATAGCCCCCCCCCCTCGAGTGTGAATATTAACCACTCAGAATTATTTGTATTATCATTTAGTTTATAGTGTTTTTTTTTATTATCATCAATTGGTTTTCTAGCCCCCCCACCACCCCCAACCCAAAATATATTTGATCACCCGATCACCCAACTTCTATGAACTCAAGCCTATATGATATAGGTATTCAGGGTGGGGTAGTAATCAGTTACATGTTACATGTATCAAAGATACGTATAACCAAGTTTAAAGTTACATTAGTAAGCTGAAAGTTAAGTATTAAATTAACTATCCAATATTAAAATATTACTGATTGCAGTTTGTTTTGTAACAGTAACTTAAAATACAATATCCATGTATCTAAAGTTAATTTTAATTAGGTCATAAGTATACGATATCAGTATTATAAATGGTAAATGTATTATTTTAATTTATAACATCAAATATTATGTAGTACATAATATTATCTAAGTGAATACCTACTGTCCATGTGTAAGTATGTTATCTATATTTCGTGTCAACATAATAATTTATATTACATATATTTTGTCCTTTGATGTTTGTATTTTTTATTCATGTGACATTATAATGCACTAACTATACGGTCCATACGTCTATAGATATTACTATCTTTATAATATATAACTGTATTATTGTATAACCAATGTTTTAATAAATTGTACTGTTGATAAATTTTAATTATAACTTATAACTTACACAATATAGTTTCCTCGTGGACCCCTCAAGTAAACATTTGAACTTTGAAGTCATTATTTTCTTATTTTCTTTAAATGTAACTAAGTTACTTAGTGTAACCAAAGTATTATGTACGTATCTATTGTAATTTGTAACTAATTACAACTAATCGAGTAGGTAACTTGCCATTTGCCAATCTCCCAATACATTATTCTACTTAAGTAAAACATAAAATTATCTTTAAACAAGATGATAGGGGTAATTTTTGGTCAAATATAAAATATGTATATATTGTTGAAAAAAATGTATTATATACATGTATAACAGTAGTACAGGAATATTAGCAAGTCCGCTCCCATAGTACTACCAAAGTATATAAATAGGTCAACAAATATCCTATCGATTGTTATTCCATTTTTACACATTTGTAATGCTCATTTAAACATTTGTACATTACCCTAAATACTAATAAATTAATTTTTAAAAGACAAAGTTGGCATATAATGAGAAAAAAAATTCCATAATATTAAACAAACAGAAAGTCAAATAACATTTTTATTATATTTATTAATCCATTTTATAATATTTAGTTCTGGTTATTTTTCTTAAAAATTACCAATATAAATAATTTCTAACAATAATTATTAAAATGTAGTTCATTTATAAATGGTGAGACTTATTTAAAGATTGATTGATTAATACAATAAAAATAAAAATCGGATAAGTGGATGTCGATCTGCTGTACAGTAGGTTACAAGTGAGTTATTTAATAATGGATTGTATTAAACTTGAACTCAATGGTATTCTATTATTGTATAAGAAAAACGATTCTGAGCGGAGACGGTTTGTCAGTCTGGATATTTTATATTGTCATTAATTATTATATCATGTAAGTTGAATTAATATTATAATATTATTATAATTTATTCATTTCTATGGTAATAAACAAAGTGTTAGAAATTAAAATCCAATTTTAAGCGGTTTTTCGTAATTTTGCGGTGGTTTTTACTATGGCTAATCTAAATTTAATAAAAAATGTAATTCAAATAAAAAATTAAATATGAATAACAAAATCTATATTTAATAAGCAATCTAAATCGATTAAAAAAACCTTGTTGGATAAAAAACCTATAAGTTTAAAAAAAACTTATTAAAAAAAAAACTGAATTGAATAGAAAAAAAAATCTAATTTGAATAAAAAATAATCCTTAAATAAAAAATGTAATTTCTAATTTGATTAAAATATCTAATTTGAATAAAAAAGTTTAATTTGATTAAAAAATTGAATTTTCAATGTATAAAAAATATTAAATGAACAAAAAAACCTAGTTGAGTATCCTAGGATGAGTAACCTGTATCTTATAAATTTGTTTGCTTTTTAAATTTAGTTTTTATTCAACTAGGCTATTTTATAACAGACATTCATGTAATCATGTCTGGCTATTTAAATTTTTTTTTATTTATTCATGGTTTTTTTATTCATATTGTATTTCCTGTTTAAATAAGATTATTAGATTTTGAGAGGAGCGATAATGTATTGATTTTACAAAGATGTGTGTTTTATTTTTATTTTTAAATTTATTTTTTTATTAGAAGAATTTATTACAAGAAAATTAAATTAAATTTTTATGAGCTTTTGAAGTTCATATTTTTACAACATTGGATATTCACTAGATTTCTCTTGTAGCGATTTTCTTATTTTGTTGTAATACAAAAAAACTAATAACTTCATGAAAATTTTGAAAATTTTGAAAATAATTTAACTATTTTTGAGCTATTAATTGATAATTTCAAATTTAAATTTTTTTTTTTTATAAATATCAAAAAAAAATTAATACAAAGCCCCTATATTGTTACAATAGCAGTTGAAAATATTAAATATGTGATTAAGGTCAGGGCCGGATTTAGGAATGTGGGGGCCCTGGGCCCACCTTTAGAAGTAGATATTTTTTTCGATTAAGTACACAATATATTTAATAACCAGAATTTTGGTTATGAAAAAACAATGATTTGTTGTGATGAAATAATAAAGATAGTAAATAAGTAAATACATTTATTAGATTATAATAGGTATGCACTGTCATTTGTCATAATATTATATATAGAACTTAAATAATAATGGTTATCATAATATATTTATATGATAACTTTGCGAGATTTCGTCGCCGCAAATTTTTCAACAACTTGTGAAAAATCCAATGATCGTAGTAAGTCGCTTTCGATGCTTAACAGTGCAAGGCCTGATAGTCGACTTTGTGTCATCGAAGTTCGTAGTCGGTTTTTTATTAACTTCATTTTAGAAAATGATCGTTCCCCGCTACAGTTGGACACCATCACAACTAAATATATACGCAACACTACTTCTACATTAGGAAATGTACACTGCAAATTATTTTCTTCAATAATCCTATATAAAAAACATTTCCCATTGCTCATTATCTTTACGCGTTTCTATATATATTCTGATAAATGAACTGAACTGTATCAATTCATTACTAAGTGAAGATTCTAAATCATTGCGGTAAATGCTAACAAGATAATTTGCAGCAGATTGTAGCTCAGAAGTTTCTAATTTTTCAAATTTATTTAAAAAACCAAAACGTTGACAAATTGTTTTGTAAGCAGCTATTCTTTCAGTTAATGATACCACCAATTGATCAATTACTGAAATAAAACTTTCTGATCTAAATTAACTGAGTTGCGGCTGTTTGATTATTATTTAACGAATTGAGCCTCACATTTTTTTTCCGATAACGAATTGGCGCATAATCTTTTAATCCTGACATTTGTTTTGCTTTTTCTTCGTACTCTTCATATTTATTTCGTATTTCTTGAACAAAATATGATAAAAGAGAATTTAGGGCATTTACAGCAGTTTGAAGAACTATTTTCGGGTCTTGTGAAAGATGGCTTGTTAAATCAAACCTCTCTAAAATGTCATTCCAAAAATTTGCATAAAATGCCACTTCAAGTGTACACATTGATTCATTGAGTTTTTTGGATTCGATTTTAACAATGTCTTTTTGTTCAAGATCGTTTGAAATTTCTTCTAAAGCTTCTTCCATGTTTTTATTTAGAACTTATTCAGCACGCATTTATTTATAACAGTCCACAGCGGACGGCTTGCTATACAAGTTATAATATGTGTTTATTTATAACTGTTTTTAATTAAAATATCTACAAGTCTACAAGATAATAATAACATAATAACATAATAATCGATTTTAAATTCACATTTGTAAGCTAGCTACTCACTTCTATAAATTCATTAGTTATTAAATATTAATAATAACATTTATTTATAAATTTATGACAATATCAATGATTGAATATTTTTATTCATGTTGTGATTTAAATCCGTTTTGAAAATGTTATATTGTGTTTTATACTTGGATGTAAAAAAAACATTTAGTGGGGGCCCTCAATTTGTGAAGGCCCGGGGCCCCCTGGGCCCCCCCTAAATCCGGCCCTGATTAAGGTACACCGTGACCCACAATAGTCAAGAATCACGGGCCGCGAGTTGAGGCACAAGCTGTTCAGTTTGATATTGTTAGGTTTAGTTAGGTTTCGTTAGGTTTAGTGAGGTTTAATCTAACCTAACGTAGCTTACGGAATTCGTTAAATTATTAATTAGATTTAAATTAATCGGATAACGACAGCGCCATCTAACGCTCAAAGAACTGGCATTCGCAACTGCTTAATATCTTAGTTAGATAGCGTTTCATGTAAGATTTACAACCCGCACTAAGACCCGGGTCTCCAAGACAAACATTTTGTTTGCAAATAGTTGAGTTGCAAAATTTATATTTTTTTATGTCAAGTAGATAATATTGTACTTCAACTCTAAGATTTTTTGTATACATTTTTATGTTGAACACATGAATACATGGAAACTTAATAGTATTTTTAAAAATACTCTTTAAACAGTTAATCGGAATAAAAAATACCTATTAATACAAAACTCAAGATGACGCCGCACCCGCCGCACCCCAATAATTACCATGCAGCTGTTGGAGAGAGCAGTTGGCCTTCAAGGAGTATTCCAGTCCGATCGGGTAGAATACGATTGCGCGCATTACTATTGCGCTCATACCCTTTTGGCTTACGATTGCGCGTGTTAAATACGATTACACGATTGTGCAATGTTGCCAAATTTAATAACACGATGATACAAATTCTAAGATAACTAATGTCGTATTTATCTGCAGATTATCTCATCTTTTTAAGAACATCGTACAGTGATGCGGTGCTAGCGGCACTCGTCGCTACGCTCCTCGGCGCCGTCGCTCCGCTCCGCAAATCGAAAATATCCCCCGACTTGCTGTGCAACACCTCTCCAAGTGGGTCACAGGGTTAAGAAATTCAGATCGTGAATAATCGTTTTAAATATACCGACTCAGACACTTTTCAGTAGAGCGCATACCGAATCAGCACTTGTTGGTAGAGCGCATACCGAAACAGAAACTTGTTGGTAGAGCGCATACCGAATTAGCACCAGAAATTGTAAAAATAATATTATAATCCTGTTTTATTTTTTGACTGTTGATGGTATACATTAATTAACATATTAGGGTATTTTATTTTTATATGTATTTTATGATTTGTTCGTGTAATTTATTATTATATTTATTAAATTATTATTAAAAACTCTTAGCTCAAGCAAAATTAAATTACTTTCAATTTGGCAACGTCGCATGAAGTTTTACGAGCAATCGTACATATATCTTACCCAAAATGTATGTTCTATTGTCCCATTAAAACATGCGCAATCGTATTATGAAAAAGGTAAAATGCGCGCAATCGTATTTTACCGGTCCGATCACCCCAATATCGTCTTACTTAAATTACTAGAGGAAGATTATTGCTACTCTGACGTCACCCCCACGGACCCTGCTATTTGCGAGCTTGAAGCCAGTTTTCAGTAGGTATATGAGATTGTCAATGAAAACGGCGATTCTGGACAAATGAAATAACAATTGTTGATACCAGTCTGTAGTCTGTGGGACCAATACAAGATGATGGTGGTACTGGGGTTAACGGTTACACCAGTATCGCCTCTGGAAAATTCCATTTCTCGAGTTTTGGGAGGTGTTCAAATGTTTAAATTAGGATTACAAATGTGTACAAATAGAATAACAATCGATAGAATATTTTTTGACCTATTTATATACTTTGATGGTATTGGGGTAACGGACCTACATTGGACTGGCATATTTTGAAGTTAATTATAACACTATAGCTATTGGACGCAGGTACATACTAATTGTTTAGCTACTTGTGTTGTGTCTAAATTCTTAATTTAATTTAATATTAACTAAGCCACGTTGGACTTTGGTTAATATTTTCAATTTTGTATAACTTTATAGTGTAAAGTAATACACTATTATCGTATTATTTTATTACAAGTTAAAAATAAACCTGTTACTCTATCAAAGTTTATTATATTAGGTAGTAGCAGTATACCTTCACCTAAGGGTGGACCTAATTGGTTTTCCAGGGAGGGTAGTACTAACTTTTAAATTATATAGCGTTATACAATATTAAATAATTTAATATTATATTATTAATTTTTTTTAAATAATATGAAAATAATTGTTGTGCTCAGGTCTTTGGAATTTTTTTATTATCAAATATATACTATATAATCCATGTAGCCATATAAGCTACATTTATTTTATATAGAACACGGAAAAAATGTATGATATATAATATTTCGCATGTTATGTGTAACCATTGTTAAGTTTAACTTTAATGATTTTCTTAATTTATTTTTTTTTATCTTTTAAACACAGAATATCGGGCTCGACTTTAATGTGTTTCGACATTTCCATGTACAAGATGTTCCAATCCTCTGGTTTCAAATCCTATAAAAAAGTAAAAAATAATCACATGAGTATTTTTATAATTTTAAACCAGTATGTCATCAATTTCTTAACAAATCAATTTTTATAGCAACTAGAGTTGCTTCTTTTAGTTCGCTATTTTTTTTTAATCTATTTTATATAACATTTTAAATAGGTACATTACTAACAAAAACACTTTTTTCAAGAATACTATCGACACTTTCTAATTTCACGATTGGCTCATCACCTGGAAGTGTGTTGGTTATATTTTTCAAGTGTTGTTCATTTGTAATCTACAACAAGTATAGTACAAAAACAAAATATAACAATCCCCGTATAGTATATGTTTGAAGGTTTTTAACATTACTTTTTGTGCTCTACGTTTATTTTCGTATAGAATTTTGGCTTTATCCTTATTTGTATCTTTTACAGATACTGTCACTATTGAATTATGTTTCTGATTAATAAGTTCGAACTCGTCATTTGACTTAGAACTTGATATTTCAGCTTGATAGGTCAACTGTTTATTAACAAAACAATTAAAGACAATTAATTTATACAAATTATTATATAACCATTTAAAAAACGAAATTAGTTTTTTTATAATTTTAAACATATTTTTTTTCATCGAAATTAGTCAGACAATAACGAATATTATGAAAAATAATACTGTAGCATATTTATAAAGTTATTATTTTTAGTTGTTATTATAAAATCAGTTGCATGGTAATTGCTTTAGTTGATCTTTTTGTACACAGAGGATAACAGAAAGACCTAAAATAAATGTAAAAATTGATACTAGTTAAAGACAATCGTTAAACATAATATGACAATAAATTTAAAAACTATATGGATAAATATGATCAAATATACTTTGCTAGAAAATTCGTAAATATAATATTCTGAAAAAAATTATTGCGTTTCAAATACATACTTTTTCTCCTAAAAATATTGATATTTTTTAAAAGATGTAAAAACTAAACTACTTGATTGAGCCCCCCCCCCAATGTCCCGTTCGCCTTTTACAAAATATACAGTTTTCTAGTTGTTTGATATCAAAACCCCCGCTCACATTGATGTTAAAATGTTAGCCCCCCCCTCCGAAATTTTAATGGATTTCGGCTTAAATTTAATTGCTTAAGTTTTTGTCTAACCTTGGTTTTACTATTTTAATTTATTTTAAAAATTAGTAATAAAAATCATGATAATATATATATATATATATATAGGTATCATCATGTATGAACAGTTTTTGATACGTATTCTCCGATCTTTACTTCACCTATATCGTAGTTCACCACTTCTTATTGGAAGTTTATCATATATTAGAAATACATAAAATAAAACATGGACAAAAATCATGTGTGATCAAATTAGAAGTGTAGAACTATGACATTGGGCGGAGGTATAGGAGATCCGCATTCTCTATAATGTATTACAATTGTGATAATAAGGCTGTAGCCCATTAGCGCAAAATATGACCCATAAGCACAAAACAGAATTACTTTTTTAATAAACCATAAGAGCAAATCAATTTTATAATACAAATTGTATTTTATTAAAATCGTAGTTATTATTAATATTTAATTAAGCATTTACAGTGATATTGAAATTAGTTAAAAAAATCAGAAAAAATGAAAAAATCAGTAATAAAAGTCAGTAAAAATAAAAATTTGTGTATTATTTTAAATTAGTTAAAAAAGTATCATGAATAAATAAATATATTTAAGTAATATAATAATAAGTAGTTATCTTAAAATTAAATTTGAAATTTGAAGACCACTGTCTTCAAGTATTCCAATCTGGTAATTTTTTTTTCTTTACACAAGGTCCAAGTTTTTTATGACTAGATTTACGATTTTTCGACCATTTGACTGTAATTTTAAATAAACTTCTGCTTGGTGTTCTTTAATTACTTTAATAAAACTATAAATAGATGGGCGCGGGTTATAAAATTGATCTTTCAAATGCCTGTGGTATGATTCTAGACCATTGGTAGTCCTTGGCTCGTTGGAAGGTCACTTAGCCCTTTTGTGTAAGTTAATGTAAATTACATTTTGTTAATTAATTTTTGAAAACTTATAATTTTAATTTAGTGAAAACCGGATACATACGCAAACGTGACACGATCGTATCACAGGCACCAACTTATATAGGTGGACATCGAGTAATTTCAATTAAAAATAAAACGAATCACTGAGCCACTTATCTATATAGTTATC